TTTTTTTTTTTTTTTTTTTTTGCAATAGAGCAAGAGAGACCAAAACCTAACCTGAGTTACAAGAAACAAGACAGTGATAGCTATAAAAGGAGTGACCAGGAGCAACTCAGATACTCCTTTACCTCCCACATCCAATGTATGTGCTTCACAGAAAACAAAAAATAACAGATTCACAAAATACAACAGCTAGAATTACAAAATCCATTCATCCAAGGGTGGTGGAAGGCAGGAAGGAAAGGTGGAAGGGTAAATGGCACAGGGAGAAAAAAAGTATTCAAATCAGTCCAGGCACAAGGACCAGCAAATGCTAGAAAATAGCTGCAGAAAAACCTGTGGTCCTTTCAGACTCACGGTGGTGTTAAAAATCTACACACTGGTGTCAGAAAGATTCTACCTTATGGGCACCAGAGACAAAAATTCCACCTCCTCAGAGATAAGGGAATATGCAGAGGGCCCTTGGCAGAGTGGGTCCTGCCTTCCCTGGTGGGGTTGGTGAACAGGGAAAAGAGCTGCCACAGCCTCCTTCCAGTCCCACCCATCCCCTTCAGATGACAGGGGACTCAGTGGCCTGCAGCAGCCTTCAGTTTGGCAGGAGATGGATGCGGTGAAGGGAACTTCTCTGCAGAGGTTGAACTGCTCAGGGCAGACTGCAGGTAGACTGTCTTGTGGAAGAGTCTGTTGCTTAAGAAGACCACCAAGGAGAAGAGGCGCAACTGGAAGAGGCTAAAAGGCAAGAGACCTAACTTGTTAGGTTCCAGTTAATCAAAATTATTATTTCAGTTATTTGGCAGCTTATTTGACTATATTAAATGTAAAACTACACAGGAAAAGACAGCTGAAATTTGATCAAGGAATTACAGATATTAGACACATGGACTGAACAAGCAACTAAAGAATGCACTGAGCCAGGGGCAGTGGCTCACGCCTGTACTCCCAGCACTTTGGAAGGCTGAGGTGAGAGGATTGCCTGAGCCCATGGGTTTGAGACCAGCCTGGGTAACTTGGCGAGACTTCATCTACAATAAATCAAAAAGTTAGCCAGGTGTAGTGGCACATGTCTGTAGTCACAGCTACTCAGGAGGCTAAGGCAGAAGGATCACCTGAACCCAGCAGGTCAAAGCTGCAGTGACCATGAGCATGCCACTGCACTCCAGTCTGAGTGACAGTGAGACGCCAACTCAAAAAACAAATACGTAAAATAAAAAATGCACTAGGTCATGCTACTACTGCAGGTAATATAATAGAATCACAAGTTTTGAAGTACTGGGCCTCTTAGAGGAAATGAAGTTACATTTTAGATTAATCCTAATTCAAGAAGTACTATTCTATGGCTGATTTCAGGGTACAGACTTCAAGCTAAGTCTGAAGATATCATGTGCTATTTGGGGTTAAAAGAAAAGTTGGGTTTTTGTTTTTGTTTTTTTAATTGTAGAGATGAGGTCTCACCATGTTGCCCAGACTGGTTTCGAACTCCTGGGCTCAGGCAATCTTTTCACCTCTGCCTCCCAAAGTTCTGGGATTATAGGCTTGAGCCACCGCGCCTGGCCTTTGTTTTTTTTTTTGAGTTGGAGTCTCACTGTCATCCAGGCTAGAGTGCAGTGGCACGCACACGGCCACTGCAACCTTGACCTGCCGGGCTCAGGCAATCCTTCCTCTTCAGCCTTTCAAGTAGCTGGAACTACAGGCATACGCTACCATGCCCTGCTAATTTTTTGATTTATTGTAGAGACAAGGTCTCACCAAGTTGCCCATGCTGGTCTTGAACCTCTGAGCTCAGGCAATCCTCTCACCCTCACCGTCCCAAAGTGCTGAGATATGAGCCAGTGTGCCCGGCCTACAAGAGAAAATCAGTTGCCCCTAAGATACACAGTGAGTACTGCTGGATAGCAACAGCATGCAAAGACCCAAAATAGATCTGAAATGTCTAATACAAGTATCCTAACTGATTTAACCAAAACTGATCAAAGATTGATTAAGCTTTTCTTTGAAGTGATAAAACTTTGGACTACTATTGTTATATTGCTAAAAACTCCTTTTAAAATATCTTACTATCATTATCATTAGGCTCATGGACAGATCATACAGCTCACTACTTTTTTCAAATGTTGGCCATTCTTAGGCCAAGTATGGTGGCTCAACCTGTAATCCCAGCACTTTGGAAGGCTGAGGCGAGAGAACTGCCTGAGATCAGCCCGGGCAACTTGGTGAGACCTCACCTCTACAATAAATCACACACATACACAAAAAAAAACTGGCCCGACGTGGTGGCATGTGTCTGTAGTTCCAGCTACTTGGAAGGCTGAGGCGGAGCCCAGCAGGTGGAGGCTGCGGTGGCTGTGAGCATGCCACTGCACTCCAGCCTGGGCGACAAGAGTAAGTCTCCAATTCAAAAAAAAAAAAAAGTTGGCCACTCTTACAAATGTGACCCTCGAACTGTAGATGGTTACAAGTGCTTTACATTCAATGAATTATTACATTTTAAGAATATAAGGCCAGGTGTGGTGGTTCATGCCTTAATCCCAACTCTTTGAGAGGTCAACGGGGGGAGAATTGCGTGAATCTAGAAGTTCATGATCAGCCTGGGCAACATAGTGACACCTTGTCTCTACAAAAAACATAAAAATTAGCAAGGTGTGGTGGCATACACTTGTAGTCCCAGCTACTCAGAAGGCTGAGGTGGAAGGATTATCTGAGCCCAGGAGTCTGATGCGCTGAGCCATGATTGTGCCACTGCACTCCAGTATGGGCAACAACAACAAAAAAGAGTATGTACATCAGGATCAATTTTGGAAATATATACAAATTTTTTTTTTTTTAGTTGGAGTCTCACTCTGTCACCCAGACTGGAATGCAATGGCCGCTCCCAGCCACTGCAGCCTCAACCTGCTGGGCTCCAGCGATCCTTCCATCTCAGCCTTCCAAGTAGCTGGAACTACAGGCGCACACTACCACACCCAGCTAATTTTTGATTTATTGTAGAGATGAGGTCTCATCAAGTTGCCCAGGCAGGTGTCGAACCTGCGGGCTCAGGCAATCCACTCACCTTGGCCTCCCAAAGCGCTGGGCTTACAGGCTGAGCCACCCAGCCCGGCCATATATACATATTTATGTGCATATATGCACGAGGAAAGTTTGGAATATAGCGTATAAGTGGTTTTCTCTCTAGAAACTGTTTTTTAAGGTTTCTCTGCAATGTAAGAGGTAATTTTTTTTTTAAGTCTCATATAACATATAGTGTTAACAGCCCCAATTCTTTGCACAACAAAAACTTCATCACTGGCTAATACTTACTACGCTTTGCCAGGGGTCTTTGCTTCATTGGCGCTGATAATGAATAAAGGAAAGAGGATAGAGAAGAGGCAGCCACTATTTAAAAAAAAAGAAGAAAAGAAGTAATTAGTCACTCTGATAACAGCCATGATTTTGCAGAGGGTATTAGAAGCCCAAAAGTTCTTTGTCTCCAGTGTAAACATCATGGCTTGATAAAACCTTAAGGTATGAAACACATCATTCAAAAAGAGCAAAAATCAGCCTGGGCAACATAGTAAGAAGCCCTCATGTTTACCTAATAATAATAATAGTAGTAATAATACAAAAATTAGCCAGGCATGGTGGCACACACCTATAGTCCCAGCTACTTGGGAAGCTGAGGCAGAAGGATAGCTTGAGCTCAGAAGGTCGAGGCATGCCAGCCTGGGTGACAGAGTGAGACCCTGTCTCAAAATTTAAAAAAATTTTAAAAAGCAAAAGATTTTCCTAAGCACAGGGCATGTTTAACACTACTCTAGGAAGCAACATAGAAGAAAGGATATAAAATATAGGCTCAAGCAGACTGGATATTAATGCTAGCTGACACACATCTATGACTTTAACTGTCAAGGAAAAAAAAAACTACAGGTCTCTTAATTTATTTTTATGGAGGAATAATTAATTAATTAATTAATTGACCACCAGGTCTCCTGGTGGTCAAATAAGAACACAGAATGTGGCCAGGTACTGTGGCTCACACCTATTATCCCAGCACTTTGGGAGTCTCAGATGAGAGGAATGCATGAGGCTAGGGGCTCAAGACCAGCCTGAGCAACATTGTAAGACCCCATCTCTACAAAAAGTAAAAAAAGAAAAATAGTAGAACATGGTGGCACGTGCCTGTAGCCTTAACTACTTGAGAGGCTGAGGCAGGAGGATTGTTTGAGCCCAGAAGTTCAAGGTTGCAGTGAGCCATAATTGTGCCAATGCACTCCAGCATGGGAGACAAAGCAAGACCCTGCCTCTATTAAAAAAAAAAAAAAAGAAAGAAAGTAGAATATATAGAATACATAATATAGAACCAAGCAATTAAAAGGTGCTGGATACATGAATTTTTACTTTTACTAGCCTCCTTCAAATCCCTCTTGCCAAATTACCTGATAATGTATGAGGACTGCATTGCTGTGAGAAAAGCCAAGGGCAAACCAAACCCAAAGTAGTAAGGCCAATTCCTTTCTATGTTTGACAACCGCTGGTGCATTTCGATTCCTAAAACAAGGAAGCCAAGATAATTAGATATTATATTTCCTTTTAGTCAAGTAACTAAATAAATATGGTAGACAAACCATCTGAGGCTTGAGTTTTAGGCACAGATATACCATTAAGAACACAGCTGTACCTGCATAATGAACATCTGTATAACTAACCCTGAACTGTACCCCACATATTTAAAATTAAAAATTAAAAACAGCTACAGCACCTAAATTAGAACTGTACAAATCTGATATAAAGCTTCCATGCAAAGTTTTTACAATTCAATAATCACAACTGCAAAGCTGACAGGGTAAGTGAATTAAGAATTTCAGTACCAGTATCCTTTGTCAGGATTAGTCTGGAACAAATAAAATATCCAAATGCTGATGTCGATTTAATTTCTCTAATTTAAAACAACTCGTGCTCATTTATGCCACCTTATCACCCAGTCAGAGCTATATATTGCATTAAGCCTCAAAGAGATAATGTTACACTACTACATCCTCCAGCTTCAAAGTTAAGGGTTAAACCCACTAAGCAGAATTTAAATTCCCTCTCACTGGTGAGGTTGTCTCCTTCAAAGATGGTTTGCCAGGGACCTAACAATTGAATAGTTTAAAAAGTCTGGGCTGGGCATGGTGGCTTATGCCTGTAATCCCAGCACTTTGGGAGGACAAGGCAGGAGGACTGCCTGAGCCCAGGAGTTCAACACTAGCCTGGGCAATATAGCAAGACCTCATCTTTACAAAAAAATTTTAAAAATGAGTTGGGCATGGTGGCACACACCCATAGTCCCAGCTACCTGGAAGGCTAAGGCAGAAGGATTGCCTGAGCCCACGAGTTTGAGGCTGCAGTGAGCTACAATTGTGCCATTGCACTCTAGCCTGGGCAACAGAGTGTCACCCCAACTAAAAATTAAAAATTAAAAAAAGTCTGCTCAGCATTAGCTTTTCCCAACTGGGCCTCTGTGCTCTGGATTTCTTCAGGTGGACTTACCTTTATTGAACCAACGATATTCGAAGCAGTACAGTGAGTAGAGAAGGGACATATGCAGGAGACTAACCAGCTGACCAACAAGATGGATGGGAAAGAGACTCACAAACATTCCCTGAAGAACAAATATGGCAAATCTTAAAAGTTTCAGAGACCTAACACCATTCGCCCACCACTCTCCTCTCTAATCATCACTATCTGCTAGCTTCCTAGCTGCTTCTCAAGTTTCTGAATAGTAGGAGAGTAGAGAATACCCAGGGAGGCAGAGAAGAGCGGGTTAATTCATGTTTCTTATAATTTTATGATTTTAGAATTATCTTGTTTCTGTGAAAAATGATTTAAAAATCATTACCTCCCACAAAGCTTATATACCCCAGTATAAATATAACACCTGTCTTTGTGAAACTCCCTCTAGTGAAAATTTAAAAAATAAATAAATAAATTGGCCCATGTTCCCAGGCCACTTTCACCTGGATGAGGAAAAGAGCCTGCAGCAAAAGGTTGAAAAGCATGTCAGCAATTATTTTGCTGACACTAGGGAATGGGTGAGGCTTCCTTCCTGATACTTCAAATGCCAGGTCCGCTATATCCTGTAACAGAGAAATGTACCAAAACATGAATTAAATGGAATTGATTTGCATCTCCAACACTAAGACCACTGGTCTGTCACTAGAACTACCAGGAATGAAAAGCTCCCAGACATCTGGCAGTGAGATGCTAAGACAATAATTCCTTTTTACAAGAATACAAAGATCACCCACTGGCTGCTTAGCCAATAAATATTAAGGCTAAAAAATAGGTCCCTGCATGTCCACTAACTTCACAGTCTCAAACTTGCCACCTATCAACCCATCATGCTGTAGGACCCTGAATCCGTTCTACCCTGGACCTACTTGAAACCAAATGGCATTCACAACTTTGCTAAGCACAAACAAGGGGAGCACCCAAAGAGCACTGAAAATTGATGTGAGGAGGAATTCCAGCCACGACCAAACATCTCCATGTAGTGATGGATCACCTAAGAAAGAGGAAACGAGTCATCAGAAATGAAGAAATGTTCACCGAAGTGAAATTAAAAAAAAAAGCAATGAAAAAACAGAAGACCAAATATGGAATTCCCATTGTGTGTGACTAGTCTCACCCCCATCTTTCTGTTTCTTGCCAGTTTGTCACAACACGTAGGCCAAAGCGTCTAATTCATAACAGACATACCACATTCTGGCCACAGACCTGAATTCAAAGCAACCATAGATAAGGGCTGCTTATCTTGAAACAAGCCTGCTTATGCAGCAGTGACTGATGCCATAATGATTACTATTATACAATTTGCAGGAAGTCACCTGGGTTTAAATCTCAGCTCTGCCACTAATGGTTTAACCTTGGTAGCTAACTTCTTTTTATTGTTTTTAAAAATTTATTATTATTATTTTTTTGAAATCGGAGTCTTACTCTGTTGCCCAGGCTGGAGTGCAGTGGAACACTCACGGCCAACACAGCCTCAGCCTGTCAGGCTCAGGCAGTCCTTCCACTTCAGTCTTCCAAGTAGCTGGAACTACCAGCATGCACCACCATGCCTGGCTAACTTTTTTGATTTATTGTAGAGATGAGGTCTCACCAAGTTGCTCAGGATGGTCTCAAACCCATGGGCTCAGGTAATCCTCTCACCTTGGCCTCCCAAGGTGCTGGGATTATAGGCATGAGCCACCGCACCTGGCCTTTTTTTTCCTTTTAAATATATATTTCTTATTATCACAATATCACAAGAGGAGAAGAACATTTCAGGCAGAGGGAGCAGCAAGCACAAAGGTCCTGAGATGAGAGCAGTCTGAATACCAGGGGTGTTCATGGAGCATCAAGAAGCCTGTGTGGCTGAAGCCAGGTGTACATGAGGTCTGCTTGAGTAGGGCCTTGTAGGTCATTGCAAAGACTGACTTTTTTGTTTGTTTTTTGAGTCGAAGTCTCACTCTGTTGCCCAGGCTGGTGTGCAGTGGCGTGCTCACTACCATCACAGCCTTGACCTGCTGGGACTCAGGCAATCCTTCTGCTTCAGCTTTCCAATTAGCTATAACTATAGACATGCACCACCACGTCCAGCTAATTTTTTGATTTATTGTAGAGATGAAGTCTCACCATGTTGCCCAGGCTGGTCTTGAACCTGTGGGCTCAGGCAATCCTCTCACCTCAGCCTTCCAAAGTGCCGGGATTATAAGCGTGAGCCACATGCCTGGCAGTAGCTAACTTCTATTTCCTCATTCATAAAATGGATACAATAACAGTACCCATCTCAAAGAGCTGTTGAGAGGTCTGAGTTAAAAATATCTAAAGCTCCTGGTACATGGAAATATTCAGTAAACTAAGAGAGACTAGACACCTCTCATCTCTATCCCCAGCAGACAACAAAGAGCAAGGTATATACTTACCAATAATTCGGGCTGTTACTGACTGAAGCACAGGAATAAACACACGATAAAATAAGAGGAGACTGAACTGAAAAAAAGAAGCAACAAGGCACACATCAAAAGTCCCTCTTTAAAACAAGAGTTTCAAGTTTCATTGTAATGATTTTATAGATGAGAGTGCCTTTTATAAATCAAGAGGCCTGAAAAAGCACCAAAGTTGGACCTATTTCTATTTCCTAACACTTCAGCTGGGAGGTGCAAACCTGATACTGCCTATAAAACACTGAAATTTGGGGGGCAAAGAACATTTCAAATAGAATTCAGACCAAAACACAGCCATGTTCTAAATACATTGTAATACTTATTAATTAAATCTAAAGTTAACATCGAAAACATCTGTGAGGTGTTTAGATTAAGATGAGTTGAATTACACCAATTTCCAAGTCAAAGGAAATATTTAACTACCTGTTCTCCAAAGTACTCAAATTTCACTTAAGCCTACACTGGTTCTCAGTTAACTGTAGGCAACCTTATGGGTTTCAACAGTAACCAATTATAGTTGATCACTATGACCTGAAGCAGGGAGAAACTTGCTCTTGTCTAGCTGTATCAGCCCTTCCCCTCTAACCCCCATAGTTGCTCTTAGCCAAAATGTACAGTGTCAAGAGAAATTGTTACCTATAATTATGCTAAAACTTGTGAATGAGTCTTTTTTTTAAAAAAGTGTATATCCAGGGCTAACTGTAACATTTGTTTACATACAAGTGTCCTTTCTTGAATGGGAATAAAATTACCGCAGGTGCACAGAATCCTGAATTATATTTCTAAGTGTATATCAGCAAGCAAAAGTTATTTGTTTCGGTATTTCAAGAAAACGGTTGAGAATTATCAATCTAGCAACAATCTGAAGATGTTTTTAAGGTATCTGGAATTTGAGGAAAAAGAACTTACCCAGAATACTCCACCATTCCAAGCGCAACACTGGAAAATTCTACTAACAATACGTGGCTCACTGGAAAAGACCACAAGTATTCAGCTTATAAGACATATAGCTTATTTCTTTCTTTCTTTCTTTTTAATTTAAGAGACAAAGTCTGGCTCTGTCACACAGGCTGGAGTGCAATGGCACCATCATAACTCACTGCAGCCTCAAACTCTTGGGTCAAGCACTCCTCCCATCACAGCTTCCAGATAAGCTGGAATGCAGATACCTGACATCATGCCCAGCTAATTTGGTTATTTTTATTTTTTTTTATTTATTATTTTTTTTTGAGTTAGATTCTCACTCTGTCGCCCAGACTGGAGTGCAGTGGCATGCTGCTGGCCACCGCAGCCTCGACCTGCTGGGCTACGGCGATCCTTCCGCCTCAGCCATCCAAGTAGCTGGAATTACAGGTGTGCGCTACCACGCCTGGCTAATTTTTTATTTATTGTAGAGATGAGGTCTCGCCAAGTTGCCCAAGCGGGTCTTGAACCCGCAGACTCAGGCAATTCACTCACCTTGGCCTCCCAAAGCACTGGTATTACAGGCTGCCATATTATGTTTTAGCACCTAATGTTCTCCAAATGTTTCAAGGTCAGTCTACAAGAAAAGTCTAAAAATGTTTCAGGGGAACTAACTTTTAAAAAAAATTATTTTAAAATCTGAGATTGAAGAAGACTAAAAGAAAAAGTCTGCAGGTAAGGTTCTTCTATCAATAAATAAATCCACATAGGCTTCTCTATAAGTATCCATTATTCTTTCTCTTCAACATTGTGATTTTTTTTTTTTTTTTAACAAATGACATTTTTAAGCAAGGGTTATTGTTAGACCCTAGCTTAAGTCACTGTGGGAAGAAGGGATTCACCTGTAACATTATTCTGGGAAAAAAACACAAAAGCAGATAATGGGAAACACCAGGTTACTATATAGGGTCTTCCCTCTCTCGAACATTTTGACATCAGCCTGCATGCCTTACCTCTCTTGCTTCCGCTCTATACTCTGGGCTCTCCTCTGTGCCAGGACACTACTTGCCCTTCTTCGACGCTGTTCCTCTCTCTTTTGCTGGATTCGAGCATCTAACTTTGAGATGGTACAAATACCCCAGATGGAGTCTTTGATTCCCTATAGGCAAGGATATTATTTTTAAAGAAGGAAAATTATGAATTGGAGAAGACTTTCCAAAGTTATATACAGTAAAGTGAAATTAACAATGGAATTCATTGTGTTTATTTTGCTACAGGGCTTTATAAAAACCCTTCTGAATTTTTAAAATTTTAAAATAATTCCTAATTTTCAAGAGTTGCAAAAAAGGAGAACTTCCAAATACCTTTGTCCAGATTCACTAGTTTAATATTTTACCATATTGATTATTATTCATATATACATATATGTATACCTTTTTTTTTTATTTTTGAGTTGGAGTCTCACTCTCACCCAGACTAGAGCACAGTGGCATGCTCCCGGCCACTGCAGCCTCAACCTGCTGGGCTCTGGCAATTCTTCCACCTCAGCCTTCCAAGTAACTGGAACTACAGGCACGCACTACCACGCCCAGCTAATTTTTGATTTATTGTAGAGATGAGGTCTCACCAAGTTGCCTAGGCAGTCTCGAACTCGCGGGCTCAGGCAATCACTCACCTTGGCCTCCCAAAGCGCTGGGATTAGAGGCTGAGCCACCGAGCCCGGCTGTATACATTTTTTATCAATCATTTGAGCAGGTTCCTATATCATGCCCCTTTACTTTTATTTTATTTTATATTTTATTTTTTTTGAGTTGGAGTCTTACTCTGTCACCCAAACTGGAGTGCAGTGACTGCTCCCGGCCACTGAAGCCTCGACCTGCTGGGCTCCGGTGATCCTTCCGCCTCAGCCTTCTAAGTAGCTGGAGCTACAGGCGCGTGCTGCCACACCTAGCTAATTTTTTGATTTATTGTAGAGATGAGGTCTCGCCAAGTTGCCCAGACAGGTCTTGAACCCGCAGGCTCAGGCAATCCACTCACCTCAGCCTCCCAAAGCGCGAGATTATAGGCTGAGCCACCGAGCCCAGCGTCCCTTTACTTTTAATTCTTTGGTGTACGTTTCCTAACAACACTACATATGTTTTTCATAACCACAGGTAGTTATCAATTCAGGAAATTTAGTATTAATATACTTTAATATATAGTCCATATTCCAATTTCTCTATTTCAATAATGCCATTGATGGCATTTTGCCGTTCAAGATTTCAGTTCAGAATCACATATTGCATTTAGTTATCAGATCTCTTTGGTATCCTTTCGTCAGCAACCGTTGTCTTTTTTTTATTTTTATTTTTTGAGTTGAAATCTCACTCTGTCACCCAGACTGGAGTGCAGTGACCGCTCCCAGCCACCGCAGCCTCAACCTGCTGGGTCCCGGCGATCCTTCCACCTCAGCCTTCCAAGTAGCTGGAACTACAGGTGCGTGCTACCATACCCGGCTAATTTTTTGATTTATTGTAGAGATGAGGTCTGGCCAAGTTGCCCAGGTGGGT